CTTGCGCCTTGACAACTTTCTTAGCAAGGTTGCAAGGTCTCTGGACTTTTTTTTCTGACTTGGTTGATAAGTTGATTTGAGCTTTGAAGAAAAGGTGCTGTGGGATTTAGCTCCCCTCAATATCGTTATCAAATAACAATTTGCTCGATATAGTTGCCAGCTGCTTTCAGAAGTGTCTGTTGATTGCATTGTTTAGAATACAGGGGGTCTTGCAAGTTGCTCGATAGAATGATTGCAGAAGGCGCGGTCTCAAATCGGGACTTCTTCACAGTGTACATGTAATATGTTGTCAGTTTGTTTTGTTATCACTCCTAAGTAGTTTCCTCTCATTTTTGTTTGTAGTTCTGCATGTAGGTTGGTTTCAGGCCTTTCGGTTGAAGTTTTTGAATCATAATGTTTACTTTTCCCGTCCTGAAGAGTTAGCCCTAAATCTTAGTCTCAAGTACTATTGGTCACTCACTTGTATGCCCACCCTTACGACATAAGCGCCCCTTACCGAGGTCCCAAATCTTTGTTGCTGTCAAAGATTTCTTCTTTTTTTATTTCCAATTCATACACTTGAACCAATCTACAATATGCTAGTCTGAAGGTTACATCTGACACGAATACCTTTTTTTTCTCCACATCATAAATTGCTCATTGATTTGACTAGGCGTTAGTTTTAGTTTATGATGTAACCAGAACAGGCTTATTGGGATTCCCATATTCTCAGGACATTTGATAAGGATATTCAAGTTGATGTTCAGTGTGTCGAGGTCATACTGTACATGAGAGCCTTAACTTCCACCCGAGTTTGTGGAAGGGAAAACTATGCTGACTATTGTTTACCAACGAAAATCAATGATCTTTTGTGGCTGATTTGTAGCTTTCTTGATGATAGCATGAAAATTGTTTTGACGACAATATAGCGAATTTTTAGCTTGAGGCAGTTTTATAAGCAAATTATGGTTTCTTTTTGCAGTGATGGATCGACCACAGCGCAAAAGCCGTCGAAGTTCGGTATGTTCGTCGCTGAAATCGACTATTTCGGTGGTTTTCTCAACATTTACTTATACAGATTTTGAAAGTGCGGCAAACGGAGGTTGTTTCGGAAAAGGTCACAGTAGAAGATGACACCAACAAGCAAGTAATGAAACGACGTGTCAGCTTTCATAATGTGAAAACTGTACAGTGAGTTAATATGGCGCATCATCGATCATTTCTGATAAGAAAACCTCTCGTAATGCATTTATCAGTGTTTTTATTCATTCAGTAACCTTTCCTTTACAGAAACTTCGAGAAAGACAACTTGAATCTACTTGGAAGGTTCGCCATTCAGGGAGAAAATCCAGGAAACGATGAGTTCAGATGGGATTCTGACGTATGTTGCATTTGTATTCCGTGAACCAGTTTCTGTCCTATGCCTGAGATGTCTTGGCATTTTTGATTTCTTTATCCAATGTTATAAACTTTAGCCCCGGAAAAGGCCATATCACACCAACTCCTCCTCCAGAATCAGATAATCACTTGGAGGCCTCGACATTTTTGGATAGCACAATGCTTTGTTTCGGAGGTAGACATTTGCCCAAACCTCATAAAGAATCTGTGACTGAACAGCTTCACGTATTTATTCACAGAAGGTCCTCAAAGAACACAACGTTCGGATCATGGTGATGTGACAAAATACACGTCAGCAGATATGTCCATTTGTGATACGACTATTCGACAAGGTACTGCTTCGCATTTATCTGTTTTTTCTCGCTCACAGGTTTCCCGTGGTTGCAAATGACCAGTTCATGTTTAGAAGCAATCTCTCCAATAGATATGTCTTTGTGCCAAACAACTTTAAACGAGCAACCCGGTAATTGTGTTTTTTTTTCTATTTATTCGCACCCCAAACATTATTTATTGAAGTATCATCTCAACCAAGTCCTGGCCAACCCGACAGCACACAGTATAGCAGTGTCGATATGTCTTTCTGCACTACAGTCACAGGTGAATTTCCTTGTTTCTACACGGTTTCAATGACTCTTGAAGTGTTCCTGTATTTAGCAGCATTCGTATTTTGACAGGTTCAAGTGATGACACATTGGCAGCGTTAGAAGCACCACTTAGACGAGTATCAAATACTAATCATCGCCACTCGAGCTGCGGTACCTTCTTGCCCTTTCACATCATTTGGGCTGGTGTCAGAGTCCGCG